GGGATGGGGAATACATGTAAATCCATGGCTAATTCATTTCAATGTATGACAAAAACTACTGTAATGATGTAAAGTAATTAGCCTCCAACTAATAAAAATAAATGGAAAAAAAAAAGAAAAAAAAAAAAAGAAAGCCTTCCTAAGTGAACGACGTAAAGCAATATAGAAAAACAATAGAATGGGAAAGACTAGAGATCTTTTCAATAAAATTACAGATATCAAGGGAACATTTCATGAAAAAATGGAAGGAGAATTCTCACCTCTCAAAAGATCCCTAGTGATTAGACAATAAATGAGTCATATGTAACCTGCTAGGGATCACAATAAATGAGTCATATGTAAACTGCTAGGATCACCTGCCCCAGGGATGCCAGATATAGGATGTTTATTTGTGGCTCAGGGTACTGGAAGGGGAATACCAGGGAATCCCAGACCCCATTATAGAACCACACAGCTCAGGGGCCATGGGCTAATGGGTCCCTTCATGAAGGGAAGGAGGAGGGAGAGGCAAGAAGATAAAGATGAGGGAGGACCATTCTGTACAACTATGACCTCCAACATGGATGTGATGGACAACACCGCACTAAGTAAAAAAAAGCCAGACACTAAAAACCAAGGTTGTATAATTCATTTATATGAAATGTGCTGAACTGGTAAATCCATGGAAACAGCAAGCATTTGGTGTTACCAGGGGCTGAGGAGAAGAGCAAATGGGGAATGACTACTAATGGGTACCAGGTTTTCTTCTGGGTGATGAAAATGTTTGGAACTAGAGAGTAGTGGTGATGGTCAGGTTTGTGAATGAAATAAATGCTACCAAATCATACACTTTAAACTAATTAGTTACATGATGTGAACTTCAGCCTCATTTTAATCTATCTCGGGGCAGAAAGGAGCTGAATGAAAAGTCTGAGCTCAAGAGCCAGGGACCCACAGTGTGAATCTCGCTTCTCCACTCACTAGCCAGGTGATCTCGGAGCACTCTGGCCATTGCCTAGCTTCTGTTTACTCATCTGTAAGGTGTGCAAAATCAATTGAACCCACTTCAAGGGGCTACTGGAAGGAGGACTCAAGTGAGCTCATGGATGCACAGATTAAGGAGCACAAGGTGATGAGAAAAGGAAGCTGTGGTTGTGTTGAAGAGGGGAGAAGTCAGTTGGGGTGAGCTGTGGTCTCAGAGGCAGAAGTAGAGAGAGATACTGAGCCATGTTTTCCCATTCAGCCCTATTTTCTACACATAGAACCCTGCTGACATTCTATAAATGGGGGAAGAAAAACACCTCCTTGAGTTTAGAAGAGCTGCGGAAGGACAGAAGGAGGTGAGACTGAAGATGGGACTTTCCCAAGGAGGTGGCATCCACGGAGGGGAGGGATGCTGGCTCACAGCACAGCCTGATCAGAGGCAGGAAGACAGGGAGAGAGTTCAGAGGCCAGTCTCTGCAGAGGTGGGGACACGCGTGACCCTGGCATCCTCGATCACCTTCCCTCAGCCTCTTTGATGGGGCAGGAAGTGGATCTGGAACATCAAGGAAACTTTGCCCACCCCACTGTCCTGGGGAATGAGGTCAATGTCTTCAGAGGTCTAGGGGCTGGCCATGGAGAAATTCTGGAGGATGGCAGTGAAGAAGAGGAATAATTTTGTGTGAGAGATGCCTTCACTGAGACAAATAGGCTTTCCTGTGAGCTCAGAGGTTCACGATGTGGACAACAGGTGCTTGCACATTTTTGCACTGTCATCTTCCAAAGTCCAGACACCTGTGTCCATTGCAAGATATTTGTGTGAGATTGACTTTTAACCTGTCTTTCAAGGTTGACTCCTAGAGAAGTCCCAGATCCTCTGAAAGTAGGTGTGTTTTGTTGGGTGGATGTAACTTTCTCATCTTTCCATGTCACTGTTTGTAGCATTTGTTTGATTTCCAAAGAATTCAGTGGATCCACAGAATGTAAGCAGATACTTCTGCTCAGATATGTGTATGAGTGTGTGTGTGCTTCCACATGGAGGTAATGGGCATATTTCTGACTTGACATTTTTCCTGTATTTCATGTCTAATATGGGAAGAACAGTACCTATCTTGTAGGGCTATTATGAAGTAAAAGAAGTTAATGTTTGTTAAAATTCTTAAAATAACAACTGATCCACATCTAGGCCTATTTAGAAGTTAGGACACATGAACTTAGCAATACTCAGGGAAGAGCTCCCATGTGATTATTCTATAACCGGTTCTGCAACCAGGCTCTTCCAAAAGAGCCTGACTTCTGCTCCCTCCCACTCGGTTCTCCCCATCCCTTGGGCTCTGCAACCAGACACCCTTGGGCTCTCTCTGCCCGTGGTCATCTGCCTCAATCCTTTTTCCTGTCTATACTGTTTCTTTCTATACTCTTTCCCTCTTCCTTGTTCTGCCTTCTTCAATCTTGTTTAATTCACCTTCTCTGTCTATGCCAGTCTGATTCTGTCTGCAGTGCTTTCCCATTTTACAGTCTCCCTACTGAGTTCC